CGTGCCCGTGCAACGCCCCAAAACAGAGGTGACGGCTGACTGACGCTATCAGGGTCGTCGCGCGCGGCGCGCGTCCAGGCCAAACGCTCGAACCCACGACGTTCCTCTGCGTCGCGTTGATGCCGCTTGTTTTCGCCAGACCGCGCGTGCACAAATTGGCAAAACCTGAGTTGCAACGCTTGTCTCACGATTATTTTAAATAGTAACATACCAACGTTGGAACCAACTTTTCCTGGACGGCTACGCCACGCTAGAGAAATAAAGCAACGGAGGACAGCATTTAGAATTGTAGATTGACCCAGGGGTGCGCCCACATTCCCGAGCTTCCACGAGGAAGCGTCTGGTGACTCTGTCGCTAGCGTTCCGCGGACAGCCGCGCTTAGGATATATGCCGCCGTTAAGGCCGCGGCCATTTATGTGCGACGCCGACTTTCTGTTCATCGAAAAAGTGTCGAGGCTGTCAAAGGAGGTCGCGGTGGCTTCGAAATCGGAACCAGCGCGCCCGCATCAGCGCGCACCGCCGGCCCCCAGGGGGAGCGGCCAAACAACGCCGAGCGCCGGCCACCACAATTTCGTCAGCCTCCAGATCCGGGTGTCGCAGTCGCGCGCGCTGGGCATCTTCGCCCTTTTCGGGCTCCAGGGCCCTCAAGGGTCGGTTCGGTTCGAGGCATCCCGTAGGAAAAAGCCGAGCTCGGGGTGCCAATCCTGATTCCGACGATGTTCCCATTGTGCGCGACGCTGGATCTCGGGGGCGCCAGCCGCGCGCCAAAGATGCGTGCGGATTTCCCGAGACTGTATGTTGGCATTGCTGTTGATCTTACTACGGAGCCATCGCGCCCGCATGAGCGCGCATCGTCGGCCTCAGGGGGAAAGGCCAAACAACGCCCAGCGCCGGCCACTACAACTTTGTCAGCCTCCACGTCCGGGTGTCGCAGTCGCGTGCGCTGGGCATCTTCGCCCTCTTCGGGCTCCAGGGCCCTCACGGATCGGCCGACTCGAGACACCCCGTAGGAAAAAGCCGAGCCTGGGGTTCCAATCCTGATTTCGACGGTGGTCCCTTTTTGCGCGACGTTGGATCTCGCGGGCGCCAGTCGCGCGCCAAAGATTCGCGCGGACCTCCTCATGTTGACATTGTTGTTGCTTTTGCTACGCTTTTTTTTGCTTGCGTTTTGCCTGCGACGGCGTCGCCGAAGCGGCCAGGGGCGTTTGCAATGGCGCCGCAACCCTTCTTTTTATGTCCTTTGTCCTCCCTCCCTCTTTTCCCCCATCTCGGACCCCCATCCCCTCGCAGGGCTCGTTTCGATTCCTCCGATTCGATTCGATTCGACTTCGATGGGTTCCGATTCCGATTCGATTCGACTTGGGCTTCTGATTTGGATTCCGATTTCTTATTGGAGGCGTACAGGCCTGCCGATTTCCGCCGATTCGACTTTTCCCGATTCGGCTGGCGATTTCCGCCGATCCGATTCATGTCGATTGCCGATCCGATTTATCGATTGGATTCTGAGCTCTCCTGCCTCGCTGGGGGCGACCAGGGGCGCCGCCACCAACGACGGCAGGTGTTTTGGGATGCTCGGCCTCCTGGGGCGTTCACCGGGCTTCGGGACCGTCCCCCACAGTGATGCTGATGGACCACCGTTTTTGGGGGGAATGGGCCAAGACGTTTGGGGATCGACGCCTTGAACAAATCATGGCCGATCACGTCGGGGGTCTGGGCCTGCAGACGCCAAGAGCGGCCAGCTGTGCGAGCGTTGCGAAGCAAAGGAGGCTCGCAGCGGCCGGACCCTCCGGAAGATAACTAGTCTTCTGATCCGGGTGGGCCTCTTCGGATCGGCTGTTGGCGTGCAGAGCGGCGCCTCGCGGCACAGGTTGCCCTCGGCGACCCGCACGCGTGGCTTGCGTAAGGTTCAGGAGGAAAAGAAACACACAGACACGATTAATCTTCGATTCCCCAGACAATATAGGAAAATATGGGAAGTGGGGGGGAAGACGAAAATATAGGAAAATATGGGGGATATTTTTGTTTGTGTGCATTTATTTGTGTGTCCTGGGGCCCCTTCAAAGGTTCCCTCTTGCCGTCAGGGTGGCGCCCGACGCCGAGGATCGCCCACGGCGTGTTTGGACGGGAGACGTCGGCTTCTGCGGCAGGAGGACGGGCACGAGCAGCGACATGAACATAACATTTCGGAGGTCCGCGCGGATTCCTCGGATCGGCGCTGGAACGCCCTTCCCTGGCGCGCGGAACGCGCCAAGGGCGACGCCGCAGGCACCGCCGGGGGCCCCCCGCGCCAATCCGAGGAACCCACGCGGACCCCGTGATTGTGATTGTGATTGTTTTGTGATTGTTTTGTGATTGTTTTTGTGATTGTGACATTGCTGATCGTTTTCTGCGCCAAAAGAACGGCACGACTCTGACGGATGCTCTTCGCGGCTTGGAGCGTTTCCCACTGCAGCGCCCGGGGAAGTTGTCTCTTGATCTCTCGGGTGGGCCATCCTAGACCTGTTCAAGTTACTAACGGCCAGACCACCATTTCCGCTCCCGTATGCGTGTTTCTTTGCCGTAGTGTCTCAAAAGCTTTGGCTCCAACTTAATGTTCGGAACGAGAGGCCTCCTTCGGCTTCTCGGTTGGATCTGACTTTGGATGATCTCCGCCCCCTGGCCCCCGCCCGTTCTTGGCCTGGGTGGACTGTTTGCTTGAGTTTGGAGCAATGTGCAGTTGATGAAGGGCAGTGCTGCGGTCTTCTGCATGGCATCTCCCCTCTCTATCCCCACTCCTCATCACTCACTCCCTCCTCCTCAGCCTCCCGCCGTCTCCCATCGCGCCCCCCTTCTCATCTGTCCCTTCTCCTCCCCTCCTCGGTCATCCTGACCCCACTCCCGTTCATCCCTCCTGCCCCTCCTCCCTTGCCTCATCATCCCACCTCCCCTCACCCCAACCATCTCTCACATCTTCCGCCGCCCAAGCCCGCTGAGAATCAGTCCTCGGAACATTCCTGACGTCCAAGAGATCGACCAGTTTGTCATCCCAGATCGGCTTCCGACGGCCCTAGGAGCCCAATGCGAGTTCTCATCAAAGGTCGAACATTTACAACAGCATCATCGAACCTAGATCCTCGAGCCAGGCTCGAGGAGCCTCCTCCCTTCTCCCCCTCCTCCCCCTCCTCCAAGTCTACCCCCAGACCTCATCCTGGGGTGCGGTTTGATAGCAAGTCGTGTGGGAACTTCGATAGCGACAAGAAGCCTTCAGAGGCCCAGCCTACGGAGGAGCAGAACGTGCGAGAAGTGTTCTAAAGCCTTGAAGCTCGCATCACCCCGGCCTTCGACGGGGCCCCCTTCCCTTCCCTCCATTCGATCTCCCTCCCCCTCCTCCGCCTCGAAGATTCCCCAAGAAGGACGAACCATAAGCTGCTCCCATGCCGTAAGCGACGCACCCGCAGCACCAGCAGCTCCGTGAACTCTGGAAGCCCAGACATCGGACACATCTCGACCTTCTGTTCACAGCGTCGCTCCCAAGGGGTCTGGACCCCACCCCCAGAGACCGGTCTGTCAGCTCGATCTGGCGTCGCGTAATGGTCATGGACTCACGTCGGGTGTGGTTACGCCAGGGTGTGGTCTGCGATCGGGGTCGTCGGGGCCCAGAGAGGGCACGACGTTGTCCTCGTCGGGCCTCCTCGGGGCGCGGCGGAGGCCTCTGCCGAGGCCTTCCGCCCGTCCCCCCTCCCCCCCGGGGTGCCCCCCCGGGGTGCCGGGTTGCAGGCCGCACCCTCTGCAGACCACACCCTTCGGAGTCGCCGAGTGGAGTCATTCGGGGGAGGACAGACCTCCTACCTCGACACGTCGATCAAGGAATTGGCCGTTTTCGGTTCGCGAGAGGGCGTCGCGGCCGTCATTTTTGCGGGTCCAGGTCCGTCGGTTTTGGTCCCAGGCCGTCTTCACTAAAGGGAGGTTTACCAAAAAGAGGTTCGTCCACCGCTGAGTCATGGGGGTGCGAGAAGTGGAGGTGTCGCAGGCCTAGAGGTTGACACCAACACCAACATCGGCGGTGTGCCTCCACTGAGGGAAGAAGATCCCGATCTTGGCGATGGTGGTAATATTCTGGCTTCCAAGGTGACCGAAATATTACCACCAACACCGACATCTAGGATCATCTTCCCCCTGCAGAGGCACACCCCTGTGCCGGTGTTGGTGCTAAATTCCAGGCCTCCAAAGGTGTGAAGAAAGGCGCACCATTTGTGCCTTGAAGGGGCCCTAAGGGGCCCTCTGGGCCCAAAATGGGCACGAAGGGTGCACGTTCTCCCCCTCCCCGTCGATTGGCGCCCGATCTGAGCCATCATTTGAGCGACGCAGGAACACTGGTTCGACTGCGCCGACATTCGCGCGTGGGCTGCTCGCGCAAGGTCGCGCGTAGGAGCCCTCGTCTCCGATGAGGCGTGCCGTGCTGGCGGCCCGCGTGCGCCGCGGCGCAGCCTCTATATCATCTCGTTCGCTCATTCGGCGGTTCCTGGGCCTCGTGAGGCCCCTCGAATGCTCGAGTGCCCCAAGTCTGTTGCTCACGGGCGCGAAGGTTTTCAGGTCTGACGTTGCAGAAAAGTTGCAGCATCGGAGGAGAGCACCACGGGAACCCCTGACGCCATCTTCCTCTTACATCGTTCGAGCCGGAGCGATCCTGAGAGAGTCCCGGCGGGCCCAGAACCAGGCGAGACTGCAACGCCAGGATCTCAGCAGAGGTCGGGGTCCAGTCTCGGGCCGGGCGAAAGGGGGGGATTGGGAAAGGGGGGGTTACGAAATCTGCTGCATGCAGCTGGTTTCGGCCCCAGGGAGGTGCCCATTCCTCGATACATGGCCGCCTCCGGCGCCGGGAGGCGCCGGGAAAATCAGCTACGTGAGCTGATTCTCAAACCCCCCCTTTGCTATCCCCCCCTTTCGCCCGACCCGACAGTCCCCCCCCCCCGCTCGAGACCCACCCACCCCCTGGCCCTCTCCCACCCCTCGCCCCGAGGCAGCGCCGCCTGCCAGGGCCGGCCCTGCCGCCGCCGTGGCAGCCCCGGCGCCGGACAGAGGGCCCCGCCAGGAGCCCCCCCCCCCGGCTCGGGGGGGAGGGCGGGAGGGCCAGAGGCGACGATAGGGGCGAATCGCCCAGGGGGGAGCAATACATGCATCCAGGGGCGCTGACGATCCATGTCTTCGGCGAGGCTCCCGGGCGAATGCGTGTCATGCCCCCCCCGACTCGGGGGGAGGGTGGGAGAGCCAGAGGCGACGATTGTCGGAGGCCTGGAACTGGTCACCAACACCAACGCAGGGGTTTGCCTCCACAGGGGGAAGATGATCCTAGATCTCGGTGTTGGTGGTGATATATCGGCCACCTTGGAAGCCAGAATATTACCACCATCACCGAGATCGGGATCTTCTGCTCTCGATGGAGGCACACCGCCGATATTGGTGTTGGTGGCCATTTCCAGGCCTCCAAGATAGGGGCGAATAGCCCAGGGGGGAGCACTACATGTATCCAGGGGCGCTGACGATCCATGTCTTCGGCGAGGCTCCCGGGCGAATGCGTGTCATGCCCGCCCCTGGGCTATTCGCCCCCATCTTCGCCGCCGAGAGAGGGGGGCCCGCTTCTCGCTGGGGGTTCGCGTCGCAGGGGCTCGTTAGGTAGCAAGTCCTGGCCACGCGCAGAGGGGGCAGTAGGGGGAAGGGGGCGGCTTTTTAGGAGGAGGCTGCTTCCTTGAAGGCGCGGGCCTCGTCTGTAGATGCAGGGCCGGCTCCTTCTAAAAGGCGGCCTCTTTCTAATAAGCCTTCCCCCCTCCCCCGTCCCCCCCCTTTGCGCGCCGCCACAAATCACAGAAGCTTTCGCTCTCCTCGGCTTGAATGTCTACTGGCGAAGAGCGCTCCACAGCGCTAGATAGCACCCAATAGTGCCAAATAACGCCGCATCGCATTCAAATGGCGCCCCAAAGCGGTCAATAGCGCCCAACAGCGCCATGTGAGGGAGATGCAGCACGTCCGCGCTGCGCCCCATTGGGCGCGCTGTTGGGCGCCACGGGGACGACCGAAAGCTTTTGTGAGCCGCTGTCCAAGGCTCGGGGGCGCGCGGGCGGACCCTGACCCCGACCGGGGAAGCAGAGCCAGGAGGAGGAGGAGGAGGAGGAGGAGGAGGAGGAGGAGGAGGAGGAGGAGGAGGAGGAGGAGGGGGAGGGGAGGAGGAGGAGGAGGAGGAGGAGGGGAGGGGGAGGGGGAGGAGGAGGAGGAGGAGGAGGAGGAGGAGGAGGAGGAGGAGGAGGAGGAGGAGGAGGAGGAGGAGGAGGAGGAGGAGGAGGAGACGGCACGGTCGGGAGAACGCGCGCCTGCGCCAGCCACTCGGACAGAAGAAGCGATCCAGCATCGCGGCGACGGGCTCCCAACGGCAGCGTGTCGTTGACATCATTTTTTTTTCCCTCCCGACCGGCGGGCGGGGCGGGCGGTCGGACCGCAGTGGCGGGCGGGCGGGCTGGGATCCCAGCGGGGCGGTTTCTTGGCGATTGTTTAATCGCTTCGCTCATTCCGCCGGCCCGTACTGTGCCCTTGCTGGCGTTTGGGGTTTTGGGGGCCCTCTGGGGTCCTCGTTGGGGGTTTCTTGGGGGCCTCTTGGGTTTCTGTTGGAGCCTCTTCGGGGTTTCTTGGATCTCCTTTGGGAGCATCTGAGAGCATCTTGGGGCTTCTGGGCGCCGCTTGGGGCCGAGCGCTCGATATGTCCGTTCCGGTTCCCACGTTGGGCCTCCTTTTTGGGCTGTCTTGGTGCGCTGCAAGCCCGCGGCGCCTGATGCGACTCCCACCCGGCAATGGACCGCTCCATCGAGGAGTGGAGGAGGGACGAATATTGGGGGGACCGCATGCGAGTGCAGCCACTGGGGCCTTCGGTTGAGCTCCTTAAGGGGCCACAGACCGCTGTACTGGTTGGGGGAACCGCATGCGGGAGCAGCCACTTGGGCCTTCGGTGGAGCTCCCTATGGGACAACGAAAACTTGCATTGGATGGGAAAACGCATGCGAGTCAGCCACTGTGGACTTCGGTGGAGCTCCCTATGGGGCCACGAAACGTTATACTGGGTGGGGGAACCGCATACGACAGCAGCCATTGGGGCCTTCGGTGGAGCTCCTTATGGGGCCACGAAACGGTGTGCTGGGTGGGGGGGATCCGCATGCGAGTGCAGCCACTGGGGCCTCGGTGGAGCTTCCTGGGGGCCACGAATCGCTGTGCTGGGTGGGGGGAACGCATGCGAGAGCAGCCACTAGGACCTTCGGTTGAGCTCCCTGTGGGTCCACAAAACGAAGTTCTGGGTGGGGGGACCGCATGCGAGTTCTGCAATTGTGGCCTTCTCTCCATGGGGCCACGAGGCGCTGTATTGGGTGGCGGATAAGTGTGCGAGTGCAGCCTCTGGTGCCTTCGGTTGAGCTCCCGATGGGGTCACGAAATGCTGCACTGTGTGGGGGAGACGCATGCGAGTGCAGCTGCTGGGGCCTTCGGTGGAGCTCCGCATGGGACCACGAAGCGCTGTACTGTGTTTGGGGGATCCGCATGCGAGTGCAGCCGCTGGGTTCTTCAGTGGAGCTCCCGATGGGACCACGAATCGCTGTACTGTGTGTGGGAGCAGCATGCGAGTGCAGCCACTGGGGCCTTCGGTCGAGCTTCCCATGGAGGTGGAGAAGGGAAGAGGGAGGAGGAGAAGGAGGAGGAGGAGGAGGAGGAGGAGGAGGAGGAGGGGCGCTGGTCGTCAAAACGGGGACCCAACACCACTGGAATGATTTGGGAAAACGCCATGAAAGGTCCCCACGGGAATCCCAACCAAGAAGACGGAGCAGACTCGAGGATTTCTGCGCAGAAACGAGCTTGGTATGGAGACGCCAGTCAGCCAACATTGCGGAGGCCGACACCAATCCTTATCCATTCGCGTTTCCCCACCAACATGTCTAGGAACGTTGCCCTGAGGAGTTGCATTAAGGAGAAGCGCAGGTAAGCATGGAATAAAACAATGAGGCGTACGACATTGCAATTGGAGACCTCGAGGAACCTCTTTCGAGCCCTGCTCGGACATTTTGGACGCCTCCTGTGCTCCCTGTGGTACCCTTTTGGGATCCGCTCGAAGTCTTTAACCATCGTGAAACCTATTTGGATCTATCTTGGGGCATCTTGGACGCCGTGGGCACCCTGTTGGGGCCATCTTGGAGGCCATCGCGCAGACACGGGGGCAACGCCGATTGCCGCCCCCCGTCGAAGCCTCAACGATCGCTCTTACTGGTGCCCTCTTGCGGCCGTCTTGGTCTTGCCGTCTTGAGGCGTTCATGAGCGCATATTGTTGCCGGGCTGTGGGCTACATTGGAGCTACTTGGAGGCGTCAAGCAAGCTTCGGGAAATGAAGCATAAAGACGGTAAACAACTCTGAACGACCCGAATGTTGATCACTCGGGGACCTCCTTGTGGGGCTCCTTGGCTACTGGTAGCTGCCTTGGAGCGGTCGTGTGGGCTCTGGGAGGCATGTCAGAACTTGTATTGGACCATGTTGGGCGACTTCTCACAGATCTTGAAGCCATTTCGGGCTGCTTGGATCCCTCTTGGAGCCATTTTAAGCCTTCTTGGACGCTCTAACGCGTCGAGGGAGGGGTCCAGACCCAGGGGGAGGGGAGAAAGAGAAAGAGAGAGAGAGAGAGAGAAACACCCCCTCCCCGAAGCGGAAGAAAGGGGTGAGAACAACTACCTCGTTCAACCACGCACGCCCCTAAGGGCTGGCCAGATTCGCAAACGAATTGAACATTGAAACCACGCATACGCAAAGAAATACAGCACATGGCGGCATTGCCAAATGAGAACGAGTTCATTGGAAGGGAGCGAGGGCGCCAAGGCGGAAAGAGCGAGGGGATGAATTAATTCGCCGTGATGAAAATATGAGGACGAGAGAAAGCAGGGGGAGAGCGTTCAGGGCGACGACACATCTGACGCGCACTTCTGCACAGAACAACAGGCATGATCGCACTGTTCCGGCTCCCGTACGGCTCAGTGCTGTGCGTTCTCCTCGGGACGCCGCGGTACGACGCACGCGGTGTCTCTTGTGCCCCCCCAGCCTCTGGCTGGCTGCCACTCCACGCCAACCTTGCCCCCGTGGTTTGCCACGGCCGCCCCCCGCGCTCTGGCCCAGCGCGCCTGGTTGCTGCCGCCCGCCGGCTGCTCATCGTCGAATTCTTCCTTCCACTCGTCGGCCTCCCCCTCCCTCCTTGCACGCGGGCCGATTCGCTAGTTCGTGCCCCTACCTAGCTGTTACGCTGGTGCGGATTTCGCCGCCTCGCCGCCGACGGAAAAGTATGTATATAGATATGTATGTATTTATGTACATAATATAATATAAATGCACATGCTTGTATATATGTATGTACACACGTATGTGCAAATGTGTAAATCTCGATTGTAGCTATATGTGTATATGTGTCTGTGTATATATATATATATATGTATGTATCCGTAAGGGCTTCGCCCCTGCTGTCGACCCCCTTTCTATCATAATGGGACATATCAGATTCGCGTCGGTGCGTCTTGGGGCTCCCTTGGCGCATTTGGGAATATCATGCGGGGGCGGAGAGGAATCACCAGCGCATATTGAGACGTTGGCGTTATCGAAGACGCCTACGGCGAATCACCGCCGCCCCCTGCCTTTTTGGAAACGCCGATGTGGCCGAAAGTTGGACTAGAGCTTGGCCAAGCTATCGGACCATGAGTTCCCCGAGTCGGTTTGGAAAGCTTTCGGGGAACACATGGGAGAGAATGATTATGAACAGGAAGAGGAAGAGGAAGAAATAGAGTAGGAGGATGAGGGTTGTTAGGAGTCTCTTGGGGCACCCTTGGGGTCTGTTGGGGGCTTCTTGGGGGCCTCTTCGAGGCCTCTTGGAGGCATCTTGGGGGCCTCCTTGGGCCTCTTGGGGGCCTTTGGGGGCTTCCTGGGGGTCTCTTTGGCCGTCTTAGGGCGTTCCTGGTCCGTCTGACGCCGTCTGGAGCCGTCTTGGGGGCCTCTCTGGGCCGTCTTGGGGCCCTCTTGGGGCGCTTCAGGGCCGTCTTGGAGGCCATGTTGGGCGTCTTGGAGGCCTCTTGGGCCGTCTTGGGGCGCTCTTGGGGCCGTCTTGGGGGGCCCTTGGGCCGTCATAGGGCCTTCTTGGAGGCCTCTTGGGCGATCTTGGGGGCCTCTTGGGCCGTCGGAAGGCCGAAAAGAAGAAAACGCAAAAAAACTTCAAAAACCTAAGGAACACCAATGATTTTGGCCTCTTCGGGCTCTCCTGGAGAACGTCTTGGAGGCCTCTTGGGCCATCTTGGAGGCATCTTGGGGCCATCTTGGCCGTCTTGGAGGGCATCTTGGGCCGTCTTGGAGGCATCTTGGAGCCATCTTACCCGTCTTGGAGGCCATCTTGGCCGTCTGGGAGGCATCTTGGAGGCCATCTTGGGCCATCTTGGCCGTCTTGGAGGCCATCTTGGGCCAAGTTGGGGCAACAAAGGCATTGACAGACGGATTTTGGGAAAATTACGGGTGGCCGGCGGGACGGGCCGAAGCCCACTGGGGAGTTCTTTTAGAAAAAGAACCAAAACCAAAACCTGAAACATCCAGCACGCCGTGCACCCCTGCAAGCAGGGGGCGGCGGATCGAAGACGCCTACGGCGAATCACCGCCGCCCCCTGCCTTTTTGGAAACGCCGATGTGGCCGAAAGTTGGACTAGAGCTTGGCCAAGCTATCGGACCATGAGTTCCCCGAGTCGGTTTGGAAAGCTTTCGGGGAACACATGGGAGAGAATGATTATGAACAGGAAGAGGAAGAGGAAGAAATAGAGTAGGAGGATGAGGGTTGTTAGGAGTCTCTTGGGGCACCCTTGGGGTCTGTTGGGGGCTTCTTGGGGGCCTCTTCGAGGCCTCTTGGAGGCATCTTGGGGGCCTCCTTGGGCCTCTTGGGGGCCTTTGGGGGCTTCCTGGGGGTCTCTTTGGCCGTCTTAGGGCGTTCCTGGTCCGTCTGACGCCGTCTGGAGCCGTCTTGGGGGCCTCTCTGGGCCGTCTTGGGGCCCTCTTGGGGCGCTTCAGGGCCGTCTTGGAGGCCATGTTGGGCGTCTTGGAGGCCTCTTGGGCCGTCTTGGGGCGCTCTTGGGGCCGTCTTGGGGGGCCCTTGGGCCGTCATAGGGCCTTCTTGGAGGCCTCTTGGGCGATCTTGGGGGCCTCTTGGGCCGTCGGAAGGCCGAAAAGATGAAAACGCAAAAAAACTTCAAAAACCTAAGGACAACCAATGATTTTGGCCTCTTCGGGCTCTCCTGGAGAACGTCTTGGAGGCCTCGTGGGCCATCTTGGAGGCATCTTGGGGCCATCTTGGCCGTCTTGGAGGGCATCTTGGGCCGTCTTGGAGGCATCTTGGAGCCATCTTACCCGTCTTGGAGGCCATCGTGGCCGTCTTGGAGCATCTTGGAGGCCATCTTGGGCCATCTTGGCCGTCTTGGAGGCCATCTTGGGCCAAGTTGGGGCAACAAAGGCATTGACAGACGCATTTTGGGAAATTTACGGGTGGCCGGCGGGACGGGCCGAAGCCCACGCCGTGCACCCCTGCAAGCAGGGGGCGGCGGATCGAAGACGCCTACGGCGAATCACCGCCGCCCCCTGCCTTTGTGGAAGCGCCTATGTGGCCGAACGTTGAGGCCAGACCTGCCAAGCCATCGGACCATGTGTTCCCCGAATCGGTTTGGAAAGCCTTCGGGGAACACGTGGGCGTCTTGATGGTCATCGTCGCCGTCTTGGAGGCCTCTTGGGCGATCTTTCGGCGATCTTTGGGGGCTCTTGGGCCGTCTCGGGCCGTCGGAAGGCCGAAAAAAGGGAAATGCCCAAATCCATCAAAAACCTTGGGAAAATCAGTGATTTTGGCATCTTTTGGCCTTCCTGGAGGCCCTCTTGGGGGCCTCTTGGGCCCTTTTGGGCCAGCTTCGAGCCAACTTCGGCCATCTTGGTGGGTTCCTGGCACGTCTGACGCCGTCGGGAGCCGTTTTGGGGGCCTTTCTGGGCCAACGGGGGACCCTCTTGGGGCGCTCCAGGGCCGTCTTGGAGGCCATCTTGGGCGTCTTGGAGGCCATCTTGGGCGTGTTGGAGGCCTCTTGGGCCGTCTTGGGGCCCTCTAGGGGCCATCTTGGAGGCCACTTGGGCCATCAGGGGGCTCTCTTGGGGGCCTCTTGGGCGATCTTGGGGGCTTCTTGGGCCGTCTTGAGCCGTCGGAGAGCCGAAAAGGCGCAAATGCCAAAATCCTTCAAAAACCAATGGAAAATCAATGATTTTGCCCTCTTCGGACTCTCCTGGAGGACCTCTTGGAGGCCTCTTGGGCCGTCTGGGAGGCCTCTGGGGGGCCTCTTGGGCCGTCTTGGGCCGTCTTGGACTCTCTTGGGCCGTCTTGGAGGCCGTCTTGGACCATCTCGGGCGCACTTGGAGGCCATCTTGGGCCATCTTCGCGATTTTTTGAGGATGTCCCGAGCGAAACGGCCGTTTTTGGGCACGGTGGCGGGACGGGCCGGAGCCCACTGGGGAGTTCTTTTGGAAAAAGAACCAAAACCAAAACCTGAAACATCCAGCACGCCGTGCACCCCTGCAAGCAGGGGGCGGCGGATCCTAGTGGCCTTCGGCCCATCCCGCCACCGTGCTTGGGTTGTGGGTCGGAGGCCCCTTGTATATGTGTTGTGGTGTCGTGGGGAGCCTCTCGGGGGCCTCTTGGAGGCGGTTTGGGCGCCTCTTGGGGGCCTCTTGGTGCCCCGTGGGGTATCCTGTAGGCCTCTTGGAGGGCTCTGGGGCGCGTCTTGGGCGCCCCTTGTGGCCTCCTGGCAGCCTCTTGGGGCCTCCTGGGGGCTTCATGGGGCACAAATATCAAATGTTCGGTTCGTGGTCCCCTGCGTGGGTCTCTCTTGGGACCGTCTTAGGGCCCTCTAGGAGGCGTCTTGGGGGCCCTCTTGGAGGCGTCTTGGGCTGCCTTGGGGCGGTCCTGGGAGTTTCTTGAGCCGTCTTGGAGCGTCGGAAAGCCGAAAGTGCGAGAAGGCCAACATCCCTCAGCAGCTCTTGTAACATGTGCGATTTTAGCCTCGAGGGGCTCTCTCGGGAGGCCTCTTGGAGCGCTCTTGGGGCCTCTTTGGGCCCTCTTGGGCCGTCTTGAAACCATCTTCGAGCTTCTTCGAGCACTCTTGGCTTCGGCAATGCGAAATCGGCGTACTTTGCAGAAAGGCTCATGGCTTCGAGGACGCGTATGTTGCATAACTTACAAGGGTGTGTTGCCTCGGGGGCGCAATAATGGTATAATTTACAAGGGTTTGTGGCCTCGGGGACGCGAACATTGTGTAACTTGCGAAGGGTTATGGCCTCGGGAACGCGAATCTCAGGTACTTTTACATATCCCACGCCCACCTCAGGAATTCAGAGCACGCGATCCGGGTTTGATAACTGGGTCTTTTGAGGCTCTCACCCCTCGCGCCGACTTAAACAATTTACAGTAGGAAGCAGAAAATAGGATTAGAACACTGGAGACTTGAAACTGCAACTGGTGCATGGAGCAGCATACTTCGTCCTTCAGCGTGGTGGACCCACGAGGGTGCCGGCGTGTATGTCGCCTTCTGAGGGCCTCTTGGAGGTCACTTGGAGCCATCTTGAGCAGTCCTGGAGCCATATTGAACCGTCACGGGGCCGTCCTGATTGTCTGGGAGCCCATTTTTGAAAGTATACTGCCATCTTGGCCTGTTGGAGGCGTCTTGGGACCATATGGATTACATTGCAGCCATCTTGGCGCCATCGTGGACGGACAAGCCCATGCGATGAACCTTCTCCGCGGTGCCGGCGGCGTGAGCCAACGGGCATTGGGAATTCGTTGGAAGGGAGACACGCCGTGTTCAAAATGATTGACGCTTCGCGTATCCCATCGTCCCATCCAAAGCCGTCGCCAGACCCTGACCGTCGGAGTTGCCCTGATGAGGAAGGTGTAGCAGCATGCAGTGGAACGACGACGACGACGACATGAATCAACCATCGAAGCCTTTGCAGACCTTTTGGTCTCGGTGCATGTTTGGAGCCTCTCGGTATCATCTATGAGCTCTCTTGGAAGTCTCATGGGAGGGTCTCTTGGAACTCTCTTGGGGATCTCTTGGGGTCCTCTTGGTGCCTTTTAAGGAGTCTCTCGAGGACATCTTAGGAGCCATGGGGACGCTCTTGGGACCAGATTGGACGACATCAATCAAAAGAGCGGGGTGCCGTATATGTATGCTTCCCCGTTTGGCGCCGAACATTGGCCTCTTGGGGCTCTCTTGGGCCGCTCTTGGGGCGCTCTTGGATGCTCTTAGGGCCATATTGGTCAATCTTGGAGCGGTCTCGAGGCCTCTAGAGTGCGTGGGAAGCGAAAAGGCGAGAAGGTCAAACACATTGCAGCACACAATGGCTTTTAGTGATTTTGGCTTCATTGGGCCCTCCTTTGGAGGTTCGGAGGGCATTTAGAGCCGTCTGGGGGCGGTCTTCATGGTTCCGGGAGGCATGCTGGAGGCTAGCTTGAACCATCTTGGGCTATCTTGAGCGATCTTGAAGGCCATATTTGGGACCCTCTTGAAGCAACCTGCGGCCATCTTCGACACTCCGACGCCTCGCGACCCCCCCGTCCAGACCCAAGGCGGGTAGAGGGGAGGGGGACCCCCTTTCCCGAAAGGGAAGAAGGGGGGTAGCAGAACGAGCTTGCTAGACCAGTCATGCCCGGAGGGCGGGTGGGATTTGGCACACCAGGCCGGCAGGCTGCAGGGGCGGCCGATCTAGAGGCCTTCGGGTCACCCCGCCACCGCGCCAGGGTCGCGAACACGAGGCCGCTGGGAGGCCCCCTCGGAGCTCTCTTCGGGGAACTCCTTGGGGCCGTCCGTGGACTCTCTCGAGGGCCCCGATGGGCCCCTCGCAGCCTCAGACCCCGAGGGCACGGACCTGCGCCCCCGACGAGCAGCGGTGGCGGCGGCAGGGAGGAGCGGCCGACCCCGGCCGGGTGCGCGCGCGCGCGCTTGGAGAGGAACCCGACGCCGCCCCTGCGATCTCGAAGCCCCCCGGGCTGGCGACGCCCGAGGCGCTGCCCGTCGGCGGCCCGTCGGCGGCCATCGGCGGCCCTCCGGAGGCCAGCCACAGCTGGGGGAGCTGTGGTCCTTACCCCCCTGGGGGGACCCATCGATTTCGACACCCCTCTCGCGAGATGTCGACGCGATGGGTTGCCCCAGGGGGGTAAGGACCACAGCTCCCCCAGTTATGGCTGGTCGGCTCCGGCGGCCTTTGGCGGCCATCGGCGGCCACCGGCGGCCTTCGGCGGGTCCCGGCGGCCATGTGCAGCCTTTGGCGGCCCTCGGCGGCCGTCGGCGGGGGAGGAGGAGGGGCGGAGGGGCGGGAGGGCGAAGGGGAGGGAGGGAGGAGGGGAGAGGCGGGGAAGACGCGCCGGGTGCGCTCGCGCCACATGTGGCATCCTGCCTCTCCCGCCCGTCCCTTCCCATGGCGCTGATTGCTCCTTTCTCCGCGGACGCGTGTCAAGGGTCCGAACTTACTCCATCGGGTCATGCGCATTCGGACAAGGGCAGCTGCGTAGGAGGAGGAGGAGGAGGAGGAGGAGGAGGAGGAGGAGGAGGAGGAGGAGGAGGAGGAGGAGGAGGAGGAGCAGGAGGATCAGGAGGATGAGAAATGAGGAGGACGACGGCAGACAGCAGCAGTTGGAATTGGAATGGAAGGAGCGGGAGGAGCAGCAAGACCAGGGGAAGGTGGAGGATGCGAAAGGAGGGGGGCAACAACGATGGGGAAGGATTCAGATCCAGAAACGTGACCCGCCATTCTGAACGACGGGAGCAAAGCACCGATCCGCCAACGCTGCAGCGAAACACCATGTCGAAAGGACCGAGAAAGTTCGGAGTGGAAACACGAGAAAACAGCTAAGACCGTCCTCGGTGTAAACAAACATACGCAGAGGGTGTCTCGCTATTCTCTAGCCATCTTCGGGAGATAGACCCGAGTGCTATGCATAGTGAGTAACTGTTGGGTAACATGCCTCAGATACAATACCGAGCACTCATGACATATTCATCTGTCAATGAGTCAATACTCCCCACACTTGAGCAACGTTCGCGAGGGTGCGGGTGGGACTTCGACCGCATTCTTCCCCGCGGGTGCTAACTTTGAATTTGGGGGGAGGGGGAGTGTCCATTAATTGTCCCCGTCGACCGAATTGTAATGGGGCTCGGGGAAGGGAGGGGGGCAGGGGTGGGAGAGGGGGGGCAGGAGGGGAGGGGGCCCCTCACACCCGGCAGGGGAAGGTCGACGCCAGCGAGTGCCTGCTGAAGGGCAGCAACTAAACTCGGTCCGGAACAACTCGGCCAGGCTGAACTCGGCCAGCTGAACTCGGCCAGGCTGAACTCGGCCCAGGCCGAATCCAGCTTGGCCGAGTTCAGCCTGGCCGAGTTCAGCTGGCCGAGTTCAGCCTGGCCGAGTCTTGCTTGGCCGAGTCTTCCCCTTGTCCGGCGCAGAGGACACTGCGGAGGCATGAGTTTTCGGGGGCCCGCGCGGGTTTCTTTGGCGCGCTCCGCGCGCCTTAAAGGGGTGGTCCAGCGCCGACCCAACATATCCGAGCGGACCTCAGGACGTTTTCTGTCTGGTCTCTACACCTAGAGGGTTTTCAGTCGTTTTCTCCAGGCATCCCCGCGCAGGATCCCCCTGACCACCCGCTCCTCTCATCTGTCTTGATGCAGTCGTCATCATCACCAGCACGCTCACTCTCACACACACACACGCACTCACAACATGTCCATCATCGCCATCGTCGTCATCATCATCAGTACTGCACACGCACCCACCAATGCACTTCTACCGAGGAGGCCTCGAGCGGGAGCCCCGTGAGTGATGTGCTGCGCGGGGTCCTCGAGCAGGCGCCTCTGCCTCATGGGGCCCGCGCCTCGTGGTGGTGCAATCGGAGGGACCACCGGAGCTCTGACACCGTCCCCAGTTTTGGGCTCGTGAGGCCCGAGCCTGTGAAGATCGGCGGCGAGCGAGGGGGGGAATTGACAAGGAGAAGGCCTGCTCAGAAGGCGGCGGGACTTCTCAGAAGCCCGCGCGCCTTCCGAGAAGTTTTTTTTCTGTCTCCGGGGAAGGCTTAGAAAAAAACGCAGAAGTCCGGGGGACTTCCGAGCCTTCTGAAAAGGTACGCCCCTTCGCATTTCCCCCCCTGGCTCGCCGCCTAGAAGAGCCTGGACATCTAGGAGGTCTCGGGCGAGAGCCCTGCCTGTGAAACGATGTTGAGAAAGTCGAGTCTCCACGGGAGCCCCTCCCCATGGGTTCCACATTTGATGCTTCTAGTCTGGTGGTCGTCCAGATCCGGTGACAATCGCCACTCTAAGACTCCTGATGCCTGAATCTTGAGGATGTTTCGAGCGGGAGCCTCTGCCGCGATTGAATTTCGAGGATGCTTCACCTCTCCATGGGTTTCCATTCCCCTGCTTTTTCATCGGGGAGGTCATCCATATCAGGTAATTGTCGTCACTCTGTGGACTCCCGAGGACTGGTCCTTTAGGAAACATTGAGCGGGAACCTCGTGGTTGCCTTGGAATCTGGAGTGGGAGCCCCCCCACTGTCTCATGGGATGAGGCGTCGGCCTGCGTCGTGCACTGGAGGGCTGGCAGGAGGAGGAGGAGGAGGAGGAGGAGGAGGAGGAGGAGGAGGAGGAGGAAGAGGCCGGAGGATGAGGGAGGGAGGAAGACGAGGAGGCGAAGGAGAAGGAGGAGGAGGAGGAGGAGGGGCGGGAGGAGGAGGCGGGGGGATGATGATGAGGAGGAGGAGGAGGCAGGAGGATGCAGGATGAGGAGTGTGATGAGGAAGAGGATGAGGCATCATGAGCAGGGAGGGAGGAGAAGGGAAGAGGAGGATGAGGAGGCAGGATAAGGATGAGGAGGCCGCGCGGCCCTCGGTGGCCCCTAGGGGCCACCTCTTAAATTGCATGGCCGAGACGCGCTGGCAAGCGCGCAATTGCGAACAGGACGCCAGCGAGAGGCACGCCCTGAGCTTGAAGGTGGTCTCTTGGATGCGCCAGCTTGCAATTCTCACCCTGGATTTGCGCGCCGAGTACTTCGTCGGCCATGGGAAGATGGATCGTTTCAGGGGGCAGCTAATAGTTTCAGGGGGCATCTAGCGTCTCGGACTCCTGGACAGCGTGGTCGGGCACGGCGCTTCATTCTGCTGGTTTAGCTTGCATCCGACGCGCGGCCTTTGTTACGGCGGCCCGCTGCAGAATGGCTTGTCTGATCATCGGCCTCAAAAACATCGGACGAGGAAGACAGGGGGCAGCACGTGAAGCGAGTCTTCCGCCGCGCCAGGCATCCTCTGGGACATTCGGGAGGTCTGACTTTGGATGCCCGCGTCCTGCTGTCGGGTCCTCGTTGGGCTCCGCACGTCGCTAGGATGGCGCCCCAAGATCCTCCGCGGGTCGCACTCCGGGCCTCGCTGCGCCAGGACTACGAGTGCCTCCGCCGCCTGGGGGATGCCCTGGGGAGCCAAGGGCACCATCCGAATTTTCATGGCTGGCGATGGGAGAAACCGATCGCGGGCTAACTATTACGGAGTCTCCTGGCGCGACCTGGCCACCCAGGCCGGCAGCTGGAAGGGAGCCGAGATGGGCGGGTTACATTTCAGAAGGGGCGGGTTTGGAAGGAAGAAGGATCTCCGAACGACGGTTAAAAAACGACGGTCAGGATGTCTCTTGGATATGCCTGAGCTTAGACCACGACGCTTCCTTGACCAACGATTTACGCTCGTTTTAAGGGGCCGACTTGGGATTTTAGCCTGTTCCGTGGTGCTTTTGTCTGATGTTTCGTACATCCAGTCTCCTGCGCAACCTGTCTCTGGGCGCCCCATTCTCTTCAACCTGGTCGTTCCGAGACGGTCTGGATTTGAGAGAGTCGCCTCTCGCTGACCGCGTCAAGTCAGGTCGTCGCGCGGGGTGCCTCGGAGAAATGCTTATTTTCAATTCGTGGTGGGGTCCCAGCCCGTCAATGCGGTCGCCGAAAGATCTGCAGTTTGCCATTACTGGAGGGCTGCCAAATTCTCATCGCCGTTACCCTGACGTCCGCCGAGAAGCCCCAAGAGGCCCCAACTCTCTGTATTTCCCTGGGGGCAGTTTTTTTCGCTCCGGATTCGTTTTTGAAGACCCTGGGTCCCGATGGCGGGCCCCAGAGGCCGAGACCGATGAAAGACGCCCACGGTGAGCATTACCCGCCCCCCAGAACAGCAACGGTGAAGGGGCCGTGTGCAGAGGTGCGAGCACGGCCGTACGCACGTGAGTGTGTTTTTTTACGTGGGATCGCGGCCGCCCGGACTGACAAAGTTCGGGCGGGTTCCAGGCGAGAACGCGAATTGTGAGGAAGTCTCAGGCGAAACGGCTGCCAGACCAGGCGTTTTCGGGTTCCCCGTCCCCCTTGTGGAATTATTTGTTGGAGAGGCCTCACGGCCAGCGCCGCCGACCCTGAACGGCGACGACGACGACGATGCTGACGTGGGTCGCAGTTTTCACGGATGCTTCTTGGGGTCTTAACGGGGCTTTCTCCGATTTCTCGGGGGGTAATTTGGGGGCCTCTTGGGAACCTTTTGGGGGCCTGTACACCTTGGTGCCTCTTGGGGCTTCCCGGGCGCATCTTGGGGTTTTCTTGGCGCTTCTTGGGGGCCTCTCACGCCGAGGGCTCGAAATGTCCGCACTCTCTTGGGGCCATCTTGGGGGCCTGTTGGGCCGTTGGGCCCTCCTCGGGGCCCGACAGCTCGCACCCCTGCCTAAAGCGCCTTCATCGGCACTACCCTTCCCCCCTCCCTCCTCTCTGTAAGCTTGACCGTGCGTTGACCTCCTCCTCCTCCTCCTCTCTCCTCCTACTCCTCCTCCTCCTCCTCCTCCTCCTCCTCCTCCTCCCTCCTCCTCCTCTCCTCCCTCCTCCCTCCTGCTCCTGCTCTCCTGCTCCCTGCTCCTCCTCCCTCCTCCCTCCTCCTCTCCTCTCTCCCTCCTCCCTCCTCCTCTCCCTCCTCCTCCTCCTCCTCCTATCCTCCTTCCCCCTCGAGCTCTGCCCTCCCGCCC